TTTACCCAAACTTCCTCAAGGGTCAGCATCTTACATCATGCCGTGGGTTGGATCTGTAATGTCCCCGAAGGCTATATGCTAAAGGCTCTGTCACCAGGACAGCAGTGTTCAGGGCAGATTAGACACAAGGGCTCCAGACTCATCATTGGATTCATCCACTGACAGGTTCAACCTCCATGGACAGTTGGGATACAGTGGAAACTAAGAGCCAGGGCTTAGCTGGAGGAAGCATGACATTGGGGTGTATGCTTGAAGGGTGTCTTATCCCTGTTCCCTTGATCTCCCTCTCTCTATAATGACCATGAGACAAGCAGCCTCCTCTGGCACTGTGGGAGGAAGTGATGTTCTATGAGGGCAAAGCAGCAGAGCCAGTCAATCAGGGACTGACACCTCCTGAACCCTGAGCCAAACAAACCTTTCTTCCCTGCAATGATTTTCTCAGGTGTTTTGTCACAGCTATGGACAGCTGTCAGACATAACCATAACACCACCGTTAAAACAAAGACAAAATCATTATACAGTACTATTGAAAAAGCTCTATTAGATCTGGGGCACTGGTAGGATGGCTCAGCAGTTAAGAGCACTGGCTGCTCTTCTAGAGGACCTGGGGTTGATTCCCAGTACTCACATGGTGGCTCATAACTGTCCATAACTCCAGTTCCGGGAGATCCAACACTCCCTTCTGACCTCTGTGGGCTTAGCATGACACAGGTGGAATTACATGCAGGCAAGACACTCATATACAGAAAATAAATAAATTAAATAATAAATAAATAGAAAAGGCTATAGATCTTACTCAAAAATCCTTTTTATCAGAGCCAAGAGAAGGGATTTAATGTGATCCCACCTCTGGTTCAGTTGTCGTGTCTCTTTCTTCTAATCTGTGACAGGCCCGCCATTGTTACTTGACCTTTATAACCTTGTACTCGTGGCAAACGCTGGCAGCTATCACCGGATTTCCGTGGTGGATTCCTTGTGATCATATAGACTCATCCATGGTAGGCAAGAGCGTCACTGAGATGATGCCTGCTCTGTGCAGTGCAGCATTTCAGGATGCCTCCCTCTTAGTGGCATTCACGTTTCTTGTCTGCTCAATGATGTCTGCCAGGCTTCTCCCTGGCAGAGCTGCCTCCTCACCTCTGACCTTAGTAAGTACCTTATGAGGACATGCTTTGAAGCAGTGCCAACCCTGCTCCTCTCATACTTTGCCCTGTTCATTTCTTTATCTATAGCCACATAGGTTCTTGGCTTCCTACTTTTCCTCCTTTATCATCTGACTATCAGATGATGCTCATGCCATCTCCCTTGGCCAGTGGGAGCCCCTTTCCACTGCTTTGTTGTCTCTTTAACACAGCCCCTTCATTGTTTGAATATGCACTTGCATTTTGACTCTTGCGTTAACTTTTCCTCAGAGACAGGAATAAACATCTGTTCACCCCAGACAGGGCATTGACAACAGACCAAAAAAACGGTTCCACCCAAGCCTCCTTGGTGAACCAGTGACTTTAACTGGGATTACTTAGAAGAGTGTGAGGTGTGGGTGAGAGATTACCTATAGAGGCATGGGCAATTTACCTTTTTCCTTCCTAGTAGCCCTTAACCCCTTACGTACCCTGAGGAGGGGTGGGGCCTCAGGTGACTGGTGCACTGCCTGGTAAGCCCATCCTCCCCTCCATGACAACATTAATGGGTGCAATCTTGTGAGGGTCTCCTCAGAAAATCACGACTGCTGTGATTTCAAGGCAGAACAGTCATGTTATGTCAGAGGACAACATTCTACAACACTGACCTAAGACAGTGCTCCTGGCTTATCTTGGTTTTTCCCTTACCTAGCTTAGGAACCAGTTGTTTCTCCAGGGAGCTCTGATTCCTTTGTGTAAAGAATGTTAACTGGAAGCCAGGATTTGCCTGTTGGCTGTGTTCTCCTGGCTCCATGGACCCTGTCTATGGTATCTTGGAAATTTTTCAAAAATTTTATTTTATGTATATGTGTGTTATGCTTGCATGTGTGTAAGTGCACCCATATTCTGAGTGCCCTCGGAGGTTGGAATTGGGCACCAGATCCACCAAAACTTGAGTTATGGATGGTTGGTAGCTGCCATGTGGGTGCTGGGATTCAAACCCAGGTCTTCTGCAAGAAGAGCAGCCAGTACTCTTAACTGCTGAGCCATCTCTCTACCCCCAAGTACCTGTACATTCTTGATCAGTCCCCTTCCATCTCCCTTCACTCCCATCGTGGACTCTGACACCCTGTCCCCCACTACCTCTAACAACAGCCTAGAGGTAACTAACCATACAACTCCCAGTTTTGAAACTATGAGGCTGTTTTTGCCGGTAGGGCCCTGATGGTGACATGGCCAGGGGGCTGGGTTGTGGCCCCACAGGGCATGGCTGCTGACTCCCCTTTCAACTGGAAGAGACTTTTCAGCTCCTGTGTACCTCCTTGTTTTTCACTCAGAGAAACTGAGGCTCAGTAATGAACAAAAATTTTCCAAGACTATCTCCCTACCCGCCACATCCCTACCCGGAGCTTGTTTGTCCAGTTGCCTCAGGAGCCCCACGTGGCCTCCACCCTGCCAAGGAGACCTTAATAAGGTAGACTGACTACGTCCTTCAGCTCTGCAGGGCTTCTCAGCCCACTGGGACACACGCTGGTCTCCTGGGCCTTGTCTGCTTATAGATACCCCTTATTTGTCCTGAGTTGTATCATACCACATGTGAGAATTGGGACATTTGATATACAGTGCCAAATTCAGGATCTTCACTTGGAAAATCAGAATGTCTGGCTACCCTGAGCCCATACATCTACCTGGGCCACAGATACTCCTTGACCTATGCCCCGTAAACCTATGTGAGCTACCTGGGGGGTAGCTCAGTGTGTCAACTCATCCCCTGCTCCTCACTGAGGGAGAGGACCAGACTGCATATTGGTAACCTAGGCAACGATCCCAATTCCAAAGGCGGTCTTTACCTTCCATGTGTCAGTCTCACACCATCCTCAAGTTGAAGGATTGTTGTCCACCTGACCCTTCCTGAGTCAGGGGCTATCTGCAGTCAGCTGGCTGTTTTTCTGCCCACCCCACCACCTCCCAATGTGCAGCCCTCTGACAACCCTAGAGCAGATTGCCTGCCTGCCCCTGACAGCACTCAACTTGGCCATAGTCTGGCACCTCAGACCCTCTCATCTGGACTTCTCAGCCTCTTCTCTTTCCCACTCCCTACTCCCTGGAATTAAACACAGCGCCCCAGTACCCCTGGTTGTGGCCTGCTCTTGGTCTTTGCTATCTTTATGCCCTGGGCTGCATCTTCCCTCCCTACACCCTTCTCTGTTCAACCGTCATCTCATGCAGGAAGCATCTCATGCAGGAAGTGTCACTGGGCCCCAGGGACCCTTCCTCATCCCACCACTGCCACCTAGATACTCTGCAAATTCTCCTCCCCACTTTCCATTGGTTTTGATGATAACCTGTAGATTTATAAGCCAGACTGATTAAGAGGGCTTAGCATATAGTAGGTATTCCTAAATGTCAATCAAATGAAGGTTAATGATAGGACCAGCAAACACTCAGCACTTCCTGGGTGCCAAGCATGGTTCTAAGTACTTAAGATGCACCCAGTCATTTGATCCTCCCTGGCACTGCTGTCCTAATTTTATAGGCAAAGTAGCTGAGGCCCAGAGAAGTTAAATGTCATACCCAATACTAGAGGTGACAGTTGAGCATATGGACTTCCATAAACCACTCCAGATTGAAGGGTCCTTTTAAGGATAACAGAGGTGTGCCATTGAAAGTTTACGTAGTTGAGTGAATCCCCCTCCCTCTCAGCCACAACCCAGCCCTAAGAACAGCACAGAGCAGGACAGAGTAAGTGGTACCCTTTAACTTGGCAGCCTGCAGGAGTTTTTCTCCCTCAAAGCATTAGGAGACAGCATGGCTCATGGCTCACGTGTAATTAGCACACAGACTCAAACATCAGCCTTGACTTGGCACCCGTTTATCAGGGCACATTTGGTTTCCCAATCTCCAAAGAGGAATTGCAGGCTGGCTCCACACCAGCATCTCCCTAAAGTCAAGCTCCACCTTTGTGGCCAGAAGTGTGTGGACTGAGGGTGCTTTTGACAGACTATCTGAAAGGACCATCTGCAACTTGTGGTCAAAGGAAGGAAAAGAAGCCAAGTGTGTGGGAGCCTCTCCAGGACTCTGTATCAAATTCCTCAGAGACATGGATTTCCTTTCTCCTTGGTAGTCTTACAGGGTCTGGCAGGAACAGCCCTACTTTTACAGATGAGGAAACAGAGGCTCCAAGAAGTAAAGTCATTTGCCTAAAGTCTCAGAGTAATTAGCCAAAATCTGAACCAGGGATATCCAATTTCAGTGTCCAGTGGCAAGACCAAGCCAGAATTAAGCCCGTGTCAGATTCCAAAGCCCTAAATTTTCCCACCACAACCCAGGACTTCCCTGGGCCCTGGTGGAATGCACAGGAAACAAAAACAGCTCTGCTTCTAGAGAGGACAACCAGAGGTGAGCCAGCCCCACCACCATCTGACCCCACCTCATGCTGTAGACAAGAGCTGGCTTGGAGGACAGGGACGGTGGACCAGGAGGAGGAGGTGGAGGCAGAGAAGGGGACAGGTAGCAGAAAGGAAAAGTGCTGGGGGTCAAAACCTAACGAGGTCTCTGTCCTAAGGAAGTTACATTCTAACAGAAGGCAGACCCACCAAGAAATGTGCTCAAGTGTAGACACATGAGTGGGCAGAATCCTGGGTAATAAGCTTGGGTAGAAAGTGTCATGAAGGAGACATGTCCATGGGATGCAATGGAGGGATCCACTGAGGCCTGAGGGGTCCACATGGAGCTCTCGTATGTAGGCCTCAGAGCAGGTTGGAAGGGACTCTTTGGAAGAACTGTGGTCTGACGCATGTGGCGTGCTGCCAGTGCCCCGCCTCTGCCTCTGCCTCAGGCCTGTGTTCTGCACCTGCCTTACTCCTTTCTTCTCTGCAGGTTTGACATCTACAGGAAGGTACCCAAGGACCTCACGCAGCCTACGTACACCGGGGCCATCAGTGAGTACTGCCCTTCTCATCACTGCCCCAACCGCTGCGTGCATCCTGGGGAGCCAGGCTTCCTCCCTGTGCAGAATTCTAGGGCAGGGAGGACAGAAGGAAAGACAGGTGGGAGTGAACATGCCTATTATTCTCCAGGCCCTTTACCTCTTTCCACACAGGATATCTTCGCTGTAACACCAAGGTGGAAGCATCTGTTTCTAGAAGGATGTAGGAAAAACTGTCCATACAGGTTAAGGATCCTTAATCTGAAAATCCAAAATCTAGAACTTTTTTTCTTACAGTGCTAGGCATTGGACCCAGGACCTGATGCATACTAGGCAAATACTCTACCAACTAAGCTATGTCCCCAGCCCCGAAATCCAAAGCTTCCTGAGTACTGATATGCACTGCAAGTAGCAAGTCCATACCTGGCCCTGTGTGATGCACAACACTGAAGAAAGACACAGGTGCACAGAAGATGCCATGCCACCTTCTAGCCTCGTGGATGAGGTCCATACAAAACAAGAACTCCTGTTTAGGCTTGAGTTCAAATCTCAAGATATCAGCTATTCTAAAATCTGTTAAAAAGGGACCAGTGAGGTGGCTCGGCAGGTGAAAGTGCTGTGCAAACCTGATAGTCTGAGTTTGTCCTCAGGACCTACGGTGGAAGGAGAGAACCAACTTCCAAAAGTTGTCCTCTGCCCTCCACACGCACACTGTGGCATATGTTCGTACACAAAATAATAATAATAATAATTTTAAAAATAAAATCTGGAGGTGGGAGAGATGGCTCAGTAGTTAAGAGCACCCAAGTTTGGTTCCCAGCACTCTCATCAGGTGGCTCACAACCACCTATAACTCCTGCTCCAGGGGCACCAACACTCCCTTCTGGCTTCCATGGGCCCCTGCACTCACATGCACATATACACATATAATTTTAGCCTTTTTTTTTTTTTGAGACAGGGTCTCCCTGTAGCCTCAGGTGGTCTGGAACTCACTATGTAGACCAGGCTGGCCTTGAACTCAGAGATCCTCCTGCCTCTTTAATCCCGAGTACTGGGATTAAAGACATGCACCACCACACCTGGCCTTCACATATAATTTTAAAATGTTAATTTTAAAAATAAAAACTGAAAAAAATCCCAAATCCAAACCCCTTCTAGTTCCAACCCTTCCACAGTCCTCCTGTAGCAGCTGTACTGGGTGAGGAAAAGGGTTTGGAAGTGGCTAAGAGGCTAATGTTCTACCTTCATTGCCTTGGAAATGATTTGAATTTTTGTTTTTTTTTAATGTTCTATTTGTTTGTTTGTTTGTTTTGAAACAGGGTCTGCCTATAGCCCCATATGGCCTGGAACTCACTATGTAGACTGGACTGGCCTTGATTTCACAGAGATCTACCTGCACTTGCCCTGAGTGCTGAGTTTAAAGACATGTGCCACCATGCCCTGCACTACAATTTTATAATATAAGCATGGTTTTATCCATTAAAAAAAAAGTCACAAACTTACTCTGACTTAGTTTCAACAGACCATTCTTCGATTAAAGGAACCAGGGCTCCTTAGAGAAGTAGCTGCTTCCAGCACTAGGAAGGGCCCGTATATATAATCTGAGCCCAGCAGCTATGTCAGCAGGATCAGAAAAAAACCCAAGGACCAAAGCTGGACATTAAGAAGAACAAATGTACCAGGCATGCTAGTGCACGCCTATAGTCCCAACACTTGGGAAGCAGAGCAGATCTCTGTGAGTTCAAGGCCAGCCTGGTCTACATAGTGAGTTCCAGGCCAGCTGGGGCTACAGGGAGCTCCTGTCTCAAAAAGACCAAAAAAAAAAAAAATATGAATAAATACTCTGTTGGTTTAGAACTCAAAAACTTAGGGACAAAGCCCTGAAATCTATTCCGCTGTAAATGAATGGGGAGGAGGAGACAAGCTCTTTAAAGATTCTGGTAACCCCTCTAGATACTTGCCCACTAGGGAGAGAGGGTTACCTCCCCTCTCCTCCTCCAGTGTGAGTTGGGATGTAGCAACTCACTGCCAAAGAAAAGAGAATAAAAATTTTAAATGGCAGCTTTCCTATAGGGAAACCTGGAGATATACCTCAGCCAATTGAGGAAGGTTGGTGTCACTGTGCTTAGTTACATGGGTATATGAATTCCTGTGATGTATGGGGCTGCCTTGCCTCCAGGGATCTTCCCCTATGAAACTACAAACCAGGCAGATCATGACAAAGCATCACAATACCAGACTGGGGGGAGGTTGGGGAGAGGCTTCAGCAGGATATCTGACCAGTATGCCGCCAATGAGGCAAAGCCTTGAAAAGCTGAGGGAAGATGGAGGGAAGAACTCAGGATGAGTAAATGCAGAATAGGATAATGGATCCAGTCCTAGAACAGAAACAGCTTTCCTGGGAAAGCTGATAAAACCCAAGTAAAGGCTGTAGCTGACTTAGCAGATAGGAGCACAGCACCAGTACGGATTCCATGCTGAGAAAGATGAACAGGGGAAGGCGGGTAAAGCTGTACAGGAACTGTCCTGGCTTTGCATCCATTACTGTTCTACAATAGAAAATATACCTTAAGAAATTAATGCTCAGAAATAAACCAAAATCACCTGCAACTGGGGACATTTTAGCTTCACTTTTCAGATGCAAGAATGAGCTCAAGAGGGGAAGTGACTTGTCCTGAATGTCACTGCTTACAGAAAAGGGAGCTGGGATAAGGTCTTGAGTAGGCCTCCCTGGATACTTGATGTGGGACAGAGACCCTCACCACTGAGTGCCGCAACCCTGCTGTCTGTGCACAGATCAGGCAACCAGCCTGGAGTCCATGGATTCAGCTAGATAGGTGGCCTCAGGAATCTCCAAGACTCTAGGCTATCTTTTAGCCGAACAGTCAGGTGTGTATCCTCCTAGACCCTGGGATGTACCTCCACCACTGTCCTGCCCCAAAAGGGGCCAGCCGTGCCACATTCCTCCTCACCCCTGTCTCTGTTGCTGAACCTTAGACACCTTCCCTACCTCCACCAGTGCCTCTGCCTTCTAGCCAGCCATGTCCTTGCTAATAACAGGCATGTGGCACTGAGGGTAGCCATCCTGATTCCAGCCTATTGTCACTAGAGATGTCTTTGCTCAAGTCTTCCTGTATCTTCTGTGACTTTTCCTATAAGGTAGCTCTGCTAGGTGAGGAAGCCCTGGGTCAAAGGAAATGTGCGTTTTTGCTCTTTAGAAAGCCCTGCCAGGCAGCCCTCAGGAACATGGTCTGATGAGCATTTCCTTACATGAGGGGAAGGCAGGAGACATGGGAAGCCAGGCCTTAGCTACCATTTAGTGCACAAATATTTATTAAGCTGGACTTGGGGCCAGGCCCCATGCCAAGTGCTGGGACCGTGTTGATGAATGGGCTTTGGTCTCCGTCCTTGAGGCACACACAGCAGAGCCAGGAGGGCCGACTCAAGCATACACCATTGCATTATGCTAGGATAACCGCTATTAATAGCTGAAGGAGACTGTGAGGTCCTGGAGGCTCGCAGGTCGGAATTTGGACTTTGCCTCCTCCCTTACACAGCTATGTGACCTTGGACAGGCTCCTTGATCTTTTGGCAGGGTGTAGGGTCTCAGGTCAGTGCCCCCTTCATCTTGGTTGCACCCGGCTTCTGACTAGCAAGCATTCTCCTGGGGTTGCATTCCAACTGCCCAGGGCCTGAGTCAGTTTCAGAAGTCTGAAGTCAGAGCGCCTCCAAGCCTTGCCCAAACATGGATTGAAAGCCTTCATCTAGCTGTCAGAATCCAAAGACCTGGGTTGAAATGCTTCCCACCTGCCTTCATGGTTTTTCACCCATTTACTCACTCAATAAATATTTATTCTCTACCTTCTCTGAGCCAACACTGTACTAGGCCCTGAAGCCACAGTGCTACAAAGACCTCATCTCTGGTCCCCCAGTCTGAAACAGGAGTCAGGAGCACTTACACAAGTAAAGCATGCGTGACCAGGACCCCTAGACTCAGCTGCCTACTTGCTGGGTTGACCAGGCTTCAGGCCAAACCTTAAGAAAGCAAACAGATTTCAGAAAGAAGCCTCCCTAGTGTCCCCCCACCGCCACCTCCCAATGTGGGTAGAGTTAGTACTTTGAGGCCTTTCTGCAGGAAAGGAGCTTGGAGGGCAGGAAGATGATCTGCATTCGTCCAAGTCATTGTTAACTGTGCTGGATAGCTTTAGTGTCAACTTGACACACCTGGGTTGAGGGAGCCTCAATTGGGGAATTGCCTCAATTGGGGAATTGCCTCTATTGGACTGGCTATGGCCATGTCTGAGGGGCATCTTCTTGATGAGTGATGTGGGAGGGCCCAGCCTACTGTGGGTGGTGCCACCCCTGGGCAGGTGGGCCTATGTAGCGGCTATAAGAAAGCAGGCTGAGCAGGGGCCAGGGGAACAAGCCAGTAAGCAGCGTTCCTCCATGGCCTGTGCTCCAGCTCCTGCTTCCATGTTCCTGCCCTGAGTTCCTACCTCAGGCTCCCTGATGAACTGCGACCTGGGAGATGTAAGCTGAATAAACCCTTTCCTCCCCAAGTTGGTAGTGGTCAGAGTGTTTTGTCACAGCAATGAAGAAACAAACCAGGACATTAACCTTCAGGAAACCTTCCTGTTTCATACACTGCAGTATCCAATGGGGCTAGGAATGGGGTCACAAAAGTGATGCCAAAATGTGAGTCCTAGGTGGCACTGGCCAGCAAGGCCAATGGTCCAGCTTTCAGGATGCTTAGCCTACTGCCAGAGACTTCCCATGGAGGTTCAGGAGCTAGGACCTGTACTGATAACTGAGCCACTCCAGAAGATTTGTTCCACAGCTGGAGAAGATATTTGGGTTTAATCTCCATGCTTTAAACAGAAGAAAACTAAACAAGACCAGTGTATAAACTGGAGCCTGTTTACAGGTGGCAAAGCGCAGTTGAAAGAGCGTGTCTGTCACACTGCTGTTTACTTAGAGGGAAAAGGGGGTTAAAATACATATGTATGTGTGTCTGTATACTTTCTGTTCTTTAGGATGTTTTTTTGTTGTTTGTTTTTTGTCTTTTGAGACAGGGTCTACCTGTAGCCGGAGCTATCCTGGAACTCACTATGTAGACCAGGCTGGCCTTGAACTCACAGAGATCTGCCTGCCTCTGCCTCCCAAGTGCTGGGACTACAGGCGTGTGCCACCACGCCCAGCAAAGCTTTATTTTTAATTATGTATATGTATGTGCTTCTATGTGTGGGCATGTGCACATGAATGCAGGTGCCCTCGGAGGCCAGAAGAGGACGTCAGATCCCCTAGAGCTAGAGTTTTAGGCATTTGTGAGCTGCCTGATGTGGGTATTGGGAACCGAACTCAGTTCCTTTGCAAGAGCAGCCAAGCACTGTTAACCACTGAGCCATCTCTCTGGCCATCCTGTTTTGTTTTTGAGACAGAGTCTCACTATATAGTCCTGGCTAGCCTGGAACTTTACGTGTTGTCCAGGCTGGCCTTGAGATTTTGACAACCACCCTCTCTTTCTGAGTGCTTCTTTCTGAGTGCTAGGATTATGGATGTACTCCAGCAGGCCTGGCCAACACATACTTATTTACGTATACTATATAAGTTGTCATTTAGTATATATGTCGTACAGCATATTGAAATATAATGCTGTTTGTTTGTATTAATATTTATATATGCATATGTGCCCAGATGGAAATTTTTCTTGGTAATATACACATGTTCCCTGTTTTTTTGTTTTTTGTTTTTTGTTTTTTTTTCCACAAAGTAAAGCTTCTCTACAGTGCAAGGTTTCTGAGTATTGTCCTCTCTATGGCTGCAGACTTGTCAGGCAGTATGGGGATGTCCCACCTACAGCCTGTGTTCTCAGGAATCTTTTTCTGAGAGCCTTGGCTGTAGAGGACAGGGCTTCCAGTCCCTTTTCTCTTAGCCTGCCTTTCTCTACCCTATTCTAGACCGGAGCCCTCATCAGGCTGATGCCAGCATGATGTAGCAGGATGGTTTGTTAACACTCACCACCATGGCACCATGTAGTAGGTGCTCAGTAAAAGCATGTCCCCTTCCTTCTCTGCTCAGAAGACAGTGAGGAAATTAAGTAAATGGCAGACAGACAAACGGACATGGATGGAGATGTTCCTCCAGTATGGCAGGGTTATGTCCCAGGAATCCCATTGTAAGTTCAAAATAGCATAAATGGAAGTGGACTCTAGTCCACTCTGCCATACACCTTGGCTCAGCCTGGCAGCTCTCTGTGGGGTGCTGGTGACTGCAGACTGACAGGGAGCTGCTGCTGGCCAGCATTAGGACAGGGCTCTGTTTATAGCTACCTTGGGAAGATAGCCAGTCACCACATAGTCCTTCCTGAGTGTATATCGCTCTTACCCCATGAAGAGTTGAGAGATCCCAAGTTGGGTCATTCCAAAGAAGGAACCATCTGTAGATAGATAGACAGACATGTGTAAGGCTCCACCTCAACCTTAGAATCAGGAAGGTAGGGGAACGGTGGGAATTGTGGCAAACCAGTGATGTAAGACCCTGTGTGGGACGGGGGTTGGATGTTTCACAGGAGGCAAATCAGGATGTTCACATGACGTTGCCCAGGTGTTCAGTGTGACCTCAGGATTGTAACATGCATGTCACTCAAGTGAGACAGAGCACCTTAGTTGGCCACTACTACACAGCCCCTCCTCTGCATTAAAAAGCTCTTAAGGAATCGGAAGCCCAGTGGCTGCAAAGGAATTGGCTATATAGGGAGATTCACATAACCTGAGTCAGGCCAGTGCCAACTTTCTAGGGGTTCATACTGAGGCCATGAATAACAAGGGGCTTTGAGGGTCTCTGGGAAAGAATCCCCACCTTGTATGTATCCTGGGCCTCTAAGCAGCTTTCCTCCAAGGTGGCAGGAGGGGCAGGGAGAGGGGCCTCCCCTGTGGAGTGACCTGCACCCTTACTGCTGACTCTGTTTCCCACAGTCTCCATCTGCTGCTGCCTCTTCATCCTCTTCCTCTTCCTGTCGGAACTGACTGGATTCATCACAACAGAAGTGTAAGTCATTCTTCCCTGGGGTAACCTGGCTCTCTGGGATCCAAGTGAGGAGATGGAGGAGTTTTGAAAAGGAATCTGTGACATCACTGGCTCTCCTGTTTCCTAAAAAAGATTTTGAACTTGAAGCAAAATTGAACCTCACTTTGTCATAGTAAAGAGAGCACTTCAATTCCCTTCTGTCTGGGGTCCCAGGTCCACAGACAGACCAGAATCACCCACCCATCATCTATACTGAGGTTGGTCAATAGGCCTTTTCCTTCTGAGTCAAGCCAGGGTCCTTTGAAGTTGTAGCTGGAAGTGCTCTGAGGATCTGGGTGGCTCCCTCAAAGAGGCCTGAGGTAGCTGACATCAGGCATGGCCCCTGTTAGAAGCCCCTCTCATTTCTCAGACCCATACTCAGGAGTCACTGTGGACTTCCTGGCAGCTGGTGACACCACAGTCATCTATCTCCAATTCTAGAATTATCTGCCCTTTGACAGCCTGGTAAACCTCCTGCCTTGGGCCCTGGCCTCAGGCTTCAAAGCCTCTTTGTCACTGTGTTTATGACTTGCGTCATGGGGCTGGGCCCTAGCACCCCCTTCTCCTGCCCAGCCCTGGAATTTTCTTTTTCTATCCATGGAATGTCTTGGTTTCCTTTGCCTTCCCCTCAGTCACAAGACAATAGGAAGCTAAAAACAGGCTTCTTGGCCACAGCTGGCTGTTATACTCTCATCCCCAAATGGCCCCCTTTTCATGAAAGAAACTGAGGCTCTGAGAGGTGGAGAAACTTGCTCACTGTCACTCAGTTACAGGCTCCCTTGCCTCCTCTTAGCTCCTTTCCTGATAAAGCTTCCCACCCACCACTGGTGTGAGCATTTACCTCCTTGTTACTCTGACCCTGCTTCTAACCTAGGGTCCTTGTAGATTGCTGTGTGATCTTGGGCAAGTTACTGGACTTCTGAGCCTCAGTGTTGCTGGCCAGAGTAGGTCAGACTCAGACTTTATTTCTTGCTCTGGAGAAGCTTTGTCTGCTTTCCATAGCACATAGCCACACAGGGCTCAGAGGAAGCACTTGTTCCCCACGGCCCCTAAAAGACAGTGACCTTGACCACAGCAAGCATCTTTCTCTCTTGTGCACATTTGGGTCACTGTGTGGCTCAGGGATCACTCTGTCACCAGCCAGAGGTGGGAGCAGAGAGAAAAAGCAAGACACTGAAACGCATTGACCAGGCAGGCACTGGTAGGCCTCTCCAGGCTGCACCCCTCTCTAGGATGGAGAACACGCTACAGATTGTCATGTTCTGAGTAAGGTGAGAGTGGTGCAGCTGAGACAGCAGCAAGGCGCAAGCACATGAGCAGGTGGCTTTGATATTATGGGCAGGAGCACCAGCAAGTACAAAGGCCCTGAGGTAGGAATTGCTTGATGTTTATGAGACACAGAAAGACTGGCATGGCTACAGCAAAGTAAACAGGTAAGGGAGGGGAGGGAAGGTGCCTTAGGAGGCAGAGCCCTGTGATTGGGGAGTTAATGCCACTTGGGTTTGACTGTGAGCTGTTGGAGCACACTTGCTCACACACTCCTGTATGAGGCTATGTTATGCCAGCTCTGGATACAAGCAGACCTGCAATTCCCACAGTGTTCTTGGGAGATTGGCTCTGGGAGTCTCAGAACAGAATCCTCAGATGGGTCAGACCTTTCATATGTACAATAGCAAATTTACATTACATCCACCTGTCTCCTCTTCTGTACTTCTGTTTTTGCTTTCTGTTCTGCTTTAAAGATGGACTTACTATGTAGCCCAGCCTGTCCTTGAACTCACAGTCGTCCTGCCTCTGCTTCCTGTGTGCTGGGATTCCAGTTGCGTGTCGCCACACCCAGCCCTTCTGTCTACTTCAAATCATCTTCATTTTACCTAAACATATAATACAATATAAATGCTATGCAAATAGTGGCTCTGTGTTGTTTGAGGAGTGGTGAAAAGTACGCCTAAGAAACAACAGCACAGGGTAGAGCTAGAGAGTGAGGGGCTAAGGAGACCTGATGTTTTCTGAGGATCAAACAAGATTACCTGGCTGAAGGGTACTTACTTAACCGAGGGCCTGTGGACTTCACTGTCAGTCAGGCCCTGTCTTGGTGACTGTATGTTCCTCATCTAACTCTAGAAGGCCACTCTATACTTGCCTGTTCATTTCCTTGTCCCCTCCTCTGTTTAGAAGGGGTCTCCCTAGTCTCCTGGAACACTGGAGGGGACTTTAGTCAGCTCAGCCTAACAACGAGGGTATGCTGGTGGCGCTGGGCATGGCCACAGACAAGTGACTTTCGACGTCAGAGCTAGGGCCTGCGAGTGCTGTGAAGCAGGCTGGGCTGCTCAAGCAAGCCCTGACAGCGGACTTTGCCCACTGTTTACCCAGGGCAGGGCTGCCACTGGCAAAGCACAGTGTGTTCCCCATACTGTCTCCGCCCCTGCCCTGTTCAGGGACTTCCTCTTCCTGCTTCCTGATGCTGTGATCCCAGGAGGACTAAGGAGGGACAAGGAGGCACAAAATCTCTGTGGCCACCTATGGCCCCTTTGCCTATGGCCCGCTGACCACCCTGTGCTGTCAATGGGAGCCTAGTACCTCTCCCTTCCTATGTGTCCTTACCATGGCATGGACTTGCAATGGATCCAGGTGGACCCAGCACTTAACACAGCAGTGGGGGAAACAGGACCACCCCCCCACACCTTGGTCTTTTTCTTTCAACTGAAGCTTCTTGACCCAGGAAGCCTGCAGGTTGGGGAAAAACTGAAAGCGACTGTTCTCTTGGGGGCACTGGTCCTGTCTGGTGGTTCTGTGACCACAGTGGGTCAGCAACCCTCTCTTGCCATGGGACTGTAACTCAAGGAAATGAGGTCACCACTGGCTGGATCAACACTGCAGCTCTGGCCTGTGGTTATCAGTGATGTGAGACACTTATTCTGGCCCAACCGGGTGAGAGGGAGGCGGGTTTGTTTGGGTACTTGCTTTCCAACCTGGACTCTTGGCAGGCTGGTGATTATGGATGAAGAAAGGGGCACCACAGGATGTTCAGAGGCTGACTGTATCCAGGGAAGCAGCCCCCTCCTCTCAGAAGGTGGCTGTGGAATCTTCTAGCCCTTGACAGCTGAGGCTCTGCTGGCTTTAATAATTATCATCCTAGTAACGGATTTATAATAAAATGTAGGAACACAGACCCTCCACTAGTCATTTTTAGCATAATATGCATTGCTCTGCTTTCCAGCTATGACTTCCTATAAATGGCCACATGCTAGGTTAACATACACAGGTTAACATCTTATAATGGTTGCCTCAAATTTGTCACAAAAACTCTTAAAGTTGCTACCACTATTGCTGGAAAAACCGAGGCTCCAGGAGGTTACTAAGTAGGGTAGGTAGCCAGAATCTAAGTTCAGGACTTCGGATACCCCACTGCCTGGGCACCCCATCCTGCCATCCCACCCATCTCTGCAGGGCATGTTTTAGAACCTTGGGTACATAGGAGCCATGGATTATTGATCAAAAATACTGACTGGTGGGTTAGCGAGGTAGCTTAGGGGATAAAAGCACTTGCCACACAAGCCTGATGACATGGCTTGGATCCTGGAACCTATGTAAAGATAAGAGAGAACCAAGTCCATAGATCTCTTCTGACCTCCGTGTGCATGCCACACCTACATCACATAAATGTATAATAATGATACTAAATAAAATTGAACTGTTGTCTGGAGCCCTTGGGTACACCCCTATAGGGTGAGGTAGCAAGCAGGCAGAGAGGCTCCCAGAGTAGGAGCTTGGTGGTTACCTTGAGCCATGTCCTGACATGGCCCTACACTGTGCCCAGATTGGGGAGACCAGGAACTTAGCCAAAAGAGGAAAGGGAGGCTCCCTCCTGCCCTGACTGAGTCTGGATTGTGGACAGGACTGGTAGAGAGCCAAGATGTTACCCTGTAGAACAAGGGAGCAGTGGGAGGCCTGACGGCTTCTGGACACGGAGTGACAGGCAATACTTGTGCTTTCACTGTTAGAAGTCAAGATTTCAAAGCCATGCTCCCTGAGGCTTGCTGGCGAAACTATAACCCCCTCCTGCCCCCTGCCCCCCCACCCCACCTCTTACTGTGGCCTCCCTGCTTCATGGAAGTTTCCATTTGATCAGATTGTTAAGCATGGAGGTCAGCAACTTTGGGCAGGAATCTGAACTATTCAAGTGCTCTTCTAAAAGCAAATAAAATTGTTTTCCATAGATGTCATCAGACTCAGCCTAGAATCTCAAGGCCTTGGGCTACATTCCACCTACATCCCCCCCACCAATACCTCCCAACCCCTTTCATCCTCTCTCCCTACAAGGCTGATTCTTCCCCACCTCTTCCCCACACACTCAGACCACACAGTGCTGTGCTGGCTGGTGTCCCCACCTGGAATGTGCCCCACTCCTCTACCAGCACACACCCTTCCGCTTCCTGGGACTTCTGAGAACCCACTACTTTCTCTCTCTCTCTCTCTCTCTCTCTCTCTCTCTCTCTCTCTC